GGTAGAGGCTCCTTCTTTGGAAAGTTTCAAATAGAGTTTGGATGGCCATCTGTGCTTTGAATGCAATTTTCCCACTTCTTGGCAGAATGGGGTTGGACTGGATGGCCCATGAGGTCTCTTCCAACTCTATTATTTTATGATTCTATGAGGAAGGCAAAAGCAAAACATCCAGAGAAAATGATAAGTTTGCCTTAGGGCAATGATGGGCAACCTTTTGAGCTTGGTGTGTCAATACTCGGCCAAAAAACCGAGCATAACTCGAGTGGGGTGTCACCACGAGAAAAAAACCATAATTTCATGATATTTATAGTTTAATAACAAAAATATATTATTGTCATAAATAACTGTATTTAATAAACCAAAAACTAATTATTTAACTTACCTGCTTTTTCTATAATGTCATATATCTCTGCATTATAGAAAAATGCTGGTGTAGAAGCCGAGGATGAAATGTCCTCCTTGGGATGCGGCCCCATCTTCTCTGTATGCGGCCGCATGCGGCTGTGTGTCATCAAAAATGGCTACGCGTGTCAGTGCTGACACACGTGTCATAGGTTCGCCATCATGGCCTTAGGGTCACCATAAGTATGAAATGAAGGCACATAACAACAATACCTTCTTTCCATCCATTTGCAAAGTATACTTCTACCCATGCAGACTTTAGATGAGGTTTACATTTACTATGCAATTCTCTGAGCATACAGTCACACTTAATTTTTGCAATATAGGATCCTGACCATGATTTTATTCCAGCCCAGCACCTTACAAATAGTGTGGGAGCCTGTGTATGTGCCTGTGCATGAGCGCATTAGCTGATCATTAACTATGCTGATTGAACAAATGGAAAGCTTTTGGAGGGAAGGTCAGACCAAGTCCATCCCTGGGCTGCCAGTTGTCTCTTCCCAAACAACCCTCTCGCGCTACATGTGGGAAGTTCTTAAGAGACACAAGATTAGCATACATTAGGGAAGCAATAGGCTTGGCTTTATCTGAAATACGAATATATATATATATATATATATATATATATATATATATATATAGCGCACGAGAATCACATTCAAAAGAGATTTGCACATTACAAAACCCCCTGTGTGGTTTCTTGGCTGAGAACCCTAAAGCGCATTAAAAATGTTAATACTGAATTAGTTGGAAGGTGATAACCGAAGGTTTGAGGAAAAGCACAGACAAAGCAAAAAAAAAAATGATGCAGGGATAAAGAAGAGATGGCTGGAGGTTTTCCATGTTGTGATTTCTGGCAATTTGTTTTTCCTTCGAAATGTGAGATATCAAAGCTCAGTGTCTCCATTTTCAGGAAAGATTTCTCCCTTCCTTCCAGCCCCCATCTAGCTTGAACAGAATTTCAAAGAATCCCACATCCATATGTGCAGGGGATTAATGGAGAAAAGACTTTAATTAAAATGTCGTACAGAAAGGATTTTCAGCATAATAATATATTCTTTTAAAAAAGAATCTTAAGCCAACGTGTGCCTCCAAAGTTTGCAAAAAAAAAAAAAAAGCCGGACAAAAAAGGAATCTCGTTTTCCAAATCGCCTGTGCCAATTTTGGGATGCAACAATGTAAACCTCTGCAACACATGGCTTCATATCCCTGGCTCAGTCAAGACAAAACTCAAAATGGTGATTTTGGGTGGGTGGGTGGGGGGGGTCTATATTCCACTGTTTGTCCCAATTAGAGTCGACCCACAGAATTAACAGACATTATCTAAATGTTACCTTGCCACATTCTCATCGGTTCAATGGATCTACTCCACTTTGGACTACAACTCTCAAAATCCCCAGCCAACAAAATGGGTTTTCCTGCTTTTTTTTCTGTATCAGGAGTGACTTGAGAAGCTGTGAGTTGCGTCTGGTGTGAGAGAATTGGCCATCTGCAAGGATGTTGCCCAGGGAATACCCATATGTTTTTGATGTTTCACCATCCTTGTGGGAGGCTTCTCTCATGTCTCCACATGGGGAGCCGGAGCTGTCAGAGGGAGCTCATCTGCGCTGTCCTCAGATTCAAACCTGTGACCTTCAGTTCTGCCGGCACAAAGGTTTAACCTATTGCGCCACTGGGGGCTCCTTAGCTGTCCTGCTAAACTGTGGGAATTGGATTGGGAACATTTCGTTTGGGGCTACAAATGATGCATACTTTCAGAGTGAATGCTTTGCCAACATTAGTGCAAAGATCAACAGTCACAAAGAGTTGGGGTGGTCCAATTTTCCACCCATCAGACTGTCAAGGATGTACCTTTTCCCACAATGTTTTGAAATGAGGCTCTTCTATATTATTTCAAGGTGCTGTGTCAGCAGCAAGGAAATAGAGAATTGTATCCCCTTTGGGTGATATTCTCAATCTTTGATTTACTTTTTCTGCCAATAGTGCTGAGGTTTGGGTAACATACAGAATCTGGAATGCACAATTTCCAGTTTCACTCCAGCACAAGAAGGTGCAAAGTGTAGTCCTCAGGAATAATTGAAACACTAGAGTCTATTTTTGTAGTTCTTGTGAAATTCATGGATAAAATATACATCTGAGGGTGTGGGTGATACTTTTCTAGTTTCTGAGTATGGAGATATTGGTTTCAAACTCTACTTGGTCATTTTAAGACCAAGAGAGCTTGTAAAAACAGGAAATGAAGTAGTGGTGATTTCCAGGCCTCATCATATTGTAAAGGAAGGTATTTGGTTAGGCTTGCCAGATCAGAGAGAGAGAAAGAGATGGGTAGAAGCAGGCATGGCTTCTCATGCATCCAAACAGTGATACCAACTGAAATCTCACTTCTAGGCAAACCTTAAAAGTACAGAATTAGTCTCCAGGTTTCACTCTGGCAACCTTATTCCTAGACCAGAAGGGGGGAAATGGGACCAAAGTACCCATTGGTGAGTAGCAAGGAGTATTTGTGGCAATTTTATTTTACAGGGGGATATAATCCTCCAAAGTCAGCTGGGGAGCCAAAGCGGCCTCCTAAATCTTGACAGTTGCTCACTCTCCTCTAGTGTAATTAATTATGAAAAAGTTTAAGACTGGGATTGATGGTACTGGAAACTGGGATGGCAGCTGGGGGAGGGGGCAGCCAGAGACAGGAAAGTCCTCTTGATTCACGTCCAAGAACCAGCAAGTCTACCACTTTCTTTTCCTACAACCAGATGTCAACAATTGTAACCAAGGTATGGTATCTCCACATCTGTTGCCTTTGTACAATTCTTCTGAAGAGTTAGAGCACAAGTATGGCTCAGTATGTTGACAAGCTTCCTACATACAAGGGAAGTTCAGGCATGGGGAAAGGTCCAAGTTGGTGGAAGTACAAAACAAAATCTATCTATACACATAATAAAAATGAAAAATGTGTGTGTATGTGGCAGAGATGATTGTCCACACAGACTGCCTCCCACCTCCACAAACAGGCTATAGTTCCAAGTGCTGAGAAGCCTCCAAAGGTGTTCCCTCCACTGACATTGCAAAGTAGAGCGAGTGCCATTAATATGTCACCCAAACCCTACCAATGTCCCCCCTAAACACTAACCATCCAAAGAATGTTTTCATTTGGGGACAATTTCATCCTAGATTTGACAGGCATCCCAGGGTTCCTTGTCTAGAATTTGCATGACCTGTCCACTGTCTTCCCCTTAACCCTTTCCTACCCTTTCCTATGGCACACAGCAAACACTGAGGAATTGATCAGCAACTGAACAGACTAGAGGGTTTCGGGGACTGACTCAACAGGATGTAAGTTGTAGTCCACCCTGCATCAAGGCAGAGCACTCTGACCCCCTTTGATAATGGACCTGGACCACATATGCCATGATCAGGTTTGGGGGAATTGACCTTGATTTATAGGAGTTGTAGTTCACTTACATCCAGAGAGCACTGTGAAACCAGCCAACGATGGATCTGGACCAAACTTGGCACGCAGACCCAACATGGCCAACTGTACATACTGGCAGGGTTTGGGTGTGATTGCCCTGGGAATCTGGGAATGGTAGTTCACCTTTATCCAGAGAGCACTGAACCCAGCTGACAATGGATCTAAACTAAACTTTGCACACAGATCCAACATGGGCAACTGTGATTACTGGCTAGGTTTGTGAGTGATTGCCTTGGGAATCTGGGAGTTGTAGTTCACCCTTATCTAGATATTACTGAACCCAGCTGATATCAGATCTGGATCACACTTGGCACACAGACACAACATGGCCAATTTTGAATAATGGCAGGGTTTGGGAAGGATTGACTCACAATTCTGAGAACTGTAGTTCACCCACATCCTTATGCATTTTCTATTGGGAGCATTCATGAAAAACAAAAGGAAAGATTGGCTTCTTTCTAATAAATAGCATTAGACATTACCAAATTGATATTAGCAAACTTACAAACACAAACAATGCCTTTCTCAAATAACCCGGGCATTGCCAAGTCCCCAAGCTAGTTAGAAATAAAACCCCAAAGGAGTGGGGAAGCCCAGTTGGGGTTGAACTTGCTCTGTACCAACAATATGCTGTATTAAGGGAAAATGGAAATGGGGAGCAGAGGAGAAGAAAAGGGTATCAATGAAAGAGGAACATTCATGGTTGGAACCCTGGATGCAATCCTGAGTTGCAGGTCCCACTTTGGCGTTAGTAGACCTATTCCGAAGAGACTGGCAAAGTTAGTCTTGGAAAAGCACATGGGAACTGCAGTCTACAAAAAGTAACTTTTCCAAGAACTACTTTCTTTCATGGACCAGTTTTCTTACTCCTATAGACCTAAGACTCAATGGAAATGAACTGAGCTGTTGGGCATCCAGCTGGTTTTGCAAAATTATGTATTCCTCTTAGTGATTTGCCTTCCCTCTGCCTTTTGCAGTCTCTGCCCAGGGAAAGGAAGACTCCTTTAACATTCAACAGCTCCTCAGCCCTCTCTCTTTCTATTTGACATGAGAGATTTCAGGAAGGAGGGCTCCATTACTGAACCTGAGTCCAACTCCGCATTGTGAGAACACAAAGGGACCCATTTACCTTGCCAGGCTCTTTCACTTGGCTGCATTTCCAAACACTGGATGTACTGTTGATGGATTCTTTTTCTTTCTCTCCTGTCACGGCAGGTCACCACTTCTTGCCCCTTGTTTTTGCCAAAGCACCTCTCCTACGCTATTTTTTTTTCCTTCCGGCAAAATTTCAGCTGGAGAGAAGAGATGTAGGGTCAGATTCAGCACCTAGAAGAAGGGAAAGGAGAGAATTTAGATTGATCCGAATGCTGGCATCCTGGCAAAGCACAGTTTGGTCAACCAGCAGATAATTGAGAGCCAGTACGGGCAAATAGATACACCAGGGCTTGGAAAAGTTATTTTTGGATGACTTTCAAGCTCTAGAAAGCAAGTCCTCCAGATACGTTATCTTGGAAATTGTGGTAACCAGACATGTCTGAGATTCTGAGACTTGTAGTCCAGAAATGTAACATTTCTAAGCTTTGGATAGGACTTCAGTTGCTTAGTCAGCCATAGACATTTCCTTTTATGGAAAGTCATCCTCTCCTGAAATCAGTTCCCATGCTTTAATACTAGAACAGTGCATGATTTTATGTAGGATTGTGAAGGCAGAAGACATTTATCTCTTATTTCCAACACAATAACATCCTAATCCTACTTTTTCTTTCCATCTTTCTCTCTGTCCCTGTTTCTCTCTCTCTCACACACACACACAGAGAAAGAGAATCATAGAATCATAGAATCAATGAGTTGGAAGGGACCTCATGGGCCATCCAGTCCAACCCCCTGTCAAGAAGCAGGAAAATTACATTCAAAGCTGCTGCCTGCCTTTGTTCCTTTTCAGTCCATTGACTTACTGGCCGTAGGAGAGTACCTCATGAAGTCTGACTTGGCCATGGTGTTCCATGACCTAGTTACCTCCAGGTTGGATTACTGTAACACACTCTATGTGGGGCAGCCTTTGAGGATGGCCCAGAAACTGCAGCTGGTCCAAAGATCTGCAGCCAGGTTGTTAAGAGGAGCTAGCTACAGGGAGCACTCAACTGTTTAAGCACTGTTTAAGCAGGTCCTCTGGCTTCCAATAAGTTTCTGATCCCAATTCAAGATACAGGTTATTACCTACAAAGCCCTAAACAGTTCAGGATCTGCCTATCTTCGCGATCGCATCATCCCCTATGAACCAGTACGTATCCTAAGGTCATCTGGAGAGGCTCTTCCTTCGCTTCCACCGTCTCAAACATAGTTGGTGGGGATGAGCGAAAGGGTATTCTTGGTGGTGGCCCCCCAGTTCTGGAACTCCCTCCCTAAGGAGATCAGATGAGCACGCACCCTATCCACCTTTTGTAAGGATTTTAAAACTTGGATATTCCGTTGCGCCTTTGATTAGACAGATCACCAGAGAACTGGCTCAATCTTACCTAAGTTTCTGCAATTTAGTTCTGTCCACCCCCCTAATCTTGACACTTTATGACCAGAGGTACTCCCTCTAGACCGGTGGTTCTCAACCTGGGGTCCCCAGATGTTTTTGGACTTCAACTCCCAGAAATCCTAACAACTGGCAAACTGGCTGGGATTTCTGGGAGTTATAGGCCAAAAACATCTGGGGACCCCAGGTTGAGAACCACTGCTCTAGACTGACCCTTTTTGCACTTTTCCTCAGCTCTACTTAGGAATTTGTCGCACTTACTTGAGCCCGGACCCAGTTCTGAATCTGTTTTCAGCCATGTTATTGTTTCTATGATGTTGTTGTTTGTGCCTGTGTTATGTTTCATTGATTGATTTTAATGCTGTTGTTTTTATCTGTGATTTGGGCTTGTTCCCATGTAAACCACCCCAAGTCCCCTTGGGGAGATGGTGGTGGGGTATAAAAAAAGAAATAATAATAATAATAATAATAATAATAATAATAATAATAATTATATCAACCAGAGTTTAGAAAAAATGTCCAAGTGCAATTCCCATATCTGCAACGGCCAGGGATTTTCTGAGAACTGTAGACCAAAAAGGTCATTTCCCCCTACAAATTCTGGTATTAAGAAGCCATCACTCCAGGCCTCAAAGTTTCCAGTAGGTCTCCTTCAAGGCAGTGAGGGGTTTGTCCATTCTCTCAATCACTTTGTCCTTTGTCCGGCTTTAAAAAGCATTCACCTCCATGCACCCTCCATGTTGAGAAATAAAAGCCATTTGCTCCAATCGCACTACAGTAACTTTCCCTTGTGCCTCTTGTACAATTTCCCCAAATGCCTTTCCTTTTCTTTCTGTTGGAAAGTGTTCTGCAAATCTCAATAGGGCGAGGAGCAGAAACGCCGGCATGTGCTGTTGAGCCTGCAGTGGGCTGTTTGTTTGGCAACTTAGGAGGAGGAGGATGTCGAGTTGCCCTTTGCCAAGTCTGATGTCGCCTCCGCCAAATATCTTTTTGGCATGGAGACAAAGAGCAGTATGAAAGCAGGCACTAGTTGGGGGAAAACGTGTTGAAAAGGAATGATGGATCTATGCAATCTGTGAAAACGTCAATTGCGATGTATACACCAGTAAGTAAATAAATGAGTTTATGTTTGTATTACCAACATAATACAGCAGACCCTTCACTTTTGTGGGGGTTAAGGGAGCAGGCCCACTGCAAAACAGGGAAAAAGTGTATTTTTAAATGCTATTTTTTTTTACCTGGGAGAACACCTCTCTAGCAATCTCTAGATCCTCCAGTATGATTCTATGGTCCAAATCTATCCACCAATGCTGACCACAGAATCAAGCTGGAAGACCTACTATACTTGGAGAAATGTTCTTCCTAGGTTTTCCAACATGACAGAGTCATATAGGGAAACACTAGAGGTTTCTAGAGAGAACACATTAATCAAATAACCAAATCTGCAAAAGTTAAACCTGCAAATGTGGACAGTGTACTGCATTTTACTTTGCACAGTAGAAAGTAGGAGTATTTGTATGAATGAGAAATAAAGAAAGGAAGAAAAAATATCTTTCTTTGCATATTTACAGCACTATGATCAGCCTCAATCAAACTGCTGTAACACCCTTCTACAGTATAACCTCCAACTGTCTTGATTTGTTTGAATTAATCCTGTCCTGTCCCACATTTTCAGTTGTTTCTAAGGCCCCATCTACACTACCACTGCATTGTATGGTCAGTATAGATTCATATAATGCAGTTTACCTGCTTTGGGCTCAATTATATGTCTGCACTGATCACATAATGCTGTTCAATTCCCATTATGATGGCAGTGTAAATGGGGATGTCTCTCTCTCTTCCTCCCTTTTGGCTTCAGCTTACTTACATGACTTTTTTTTGTCATGTCAGGAGCGACTTGAGAAACTGCAAGTCGCTTCTGGTGTGAGAGAATTGGCCATCTGCAAGGACGTTGCCCAGGGGACGCCTGGATGATTTGATGTTTTTATCATCCTTGTGGGAGGCTTCTCTCATGTCCCCATATGAGGAGCTGCAGCTGATAGAGGGAGCTCATCCGCCTCTCCCCGGATTCGAACGTGCGACCTGTCGGTCTTCAGTCCCACCAGCACAGGGGTTTAACCCACTGCGCTACCGGGGGCTCCACTTTCATGGCTGCAAACTACGTACAAAGTGCAAAAATAGTTTGTAATCAACTGATTCTATAACTGGGGGCTGGAGACTCTAGCTTTTCCCAATATGTTCAGGGCAAAAGCAAATTATGTAGCCTTTCCTAACACATGTATTGTTTCCATTTAAAAAAGGTTGGCCATTTGGTCACACTTTTAGTTGCATATGTTCAACTTTTCATCATTAAAATGTTAGAGATACTATGGAATCCTAGGATTTATAATCTGGTATTTGGTATTTCAAATTATATGTTCAGGGAAATGGTTAAAGTTATGCTACTCAAAGTGGTAACTTATGGACAACGGCTGGTCAACTGGCTATTGGCTGTCCACAATAATAACTTTATTTTTATTCCATCCCATCTCCCCAATGGGAACTTAGGATGGCTCACAACAAAAATGGCATATATTTGATGCCAGACATAACTGAGTAATATAACACAAGTAAACAAGGTAAACAATAACAAATCACTAAAATGTATTGTCGAAGGCTTTCATGGCCGGAATCACTCGGTTGTTGCAGGTTTTTCGGGTTATATGGCTATGTTCTAGAAGCATTCTCTCCTGACGTTTCGCTTGCATCTATGGCAGACCTCACAAAGTCAGGAGAGAATTGTCGAAGGCTTTAATGGCTGGAATCACTGGGTTGTTGTAGGTTTTCCGGGCTATATGGCCATGTTCTAGAGGCATTTTCTCCTGACGTTTTGCCTGCATCTATGAGGATGCTTGCCATAGATGCAGGCAAAACGTCAGGAGAAAATGCCTCTAGAACATGGCCATATAGCCCGGAAAACCTACATCAACCTCAGGAGAGAATGCTTCTAGAACATAGCCATATAGCCCGAAAAACCTACAACAACCCAAATCAGTAAACCATAATCAAATAAGCACATTTTGTTAGCACTAAAATTAGCATCCCTCCCAATTACAGTACCTGAGGAAAACTATGATAGTCCAACCTTGATTGACAACCCCAGATGTGGAAAATGCCCAAAAACTCTAAGCAGAAAGGATTTCTGGCAAGAGAAGGGCACACACTTGCTGGGCAAAAATGTGGTGATGGTGCATGCCAAAGGGTTGGAGATGGACTTCAGTGTGGCTTCCAGGTGGTAGATTAACCTCGTCCTAGAGTAACTAACATTTCCTAAATCTGGACCATCATCTCCTTTGGTGCCATTGGCTACTTTGGCATCTGTGGTGGAGCTTGAGAAGATCCCTTTGTCTACTGATCCTTGCCCATCCATAGAGATTTTCTGGATAGTGTTAGGAGTGATCTCACTCCTAACAGAGTGAGCAGAGGTTCTCCTTGGAGGGCTCCTGGTTGAGGAAGAATGAGTTGTAACAAACTTACAAACACAAACAATGCCTTTCTCTACTCTGTAGAATCAATGCATTTTGACATCATTTTAAATGTCCTGGCACAGTGCACTGAAATTCTGAAGGTTGTAGCTCTGCCAAAGAGTGCTCAGGACTCCACGGCATTGAGCCATGGCAGTTAAAGTAGCACTAAATTGCATTAATTCAGCAGTCTAGATGCATCCATACAGAGCTATAGAAAACTCTTATGAACTACAACAGTGGTTCTCAACCTTTCTAATGCCGCGATCCCTTAGTACAGTTCCTCACGTTGTGGTGCC